ATGATTGCATGTGGGTCAGCCTTGCCATCCTGACTCCTCCCAGGAGCAATTCCATCCTGGTGCACACAGGAGCACAGCTTTCCTTGCTGTTGCCTCTGAAGTTCTGGGTTTCTGGGCAGAAGTACAACAAGCCATCAACCTCTGCTCCAGGGTCCACCAGCTTGTCCTGCTACCTCAGGCCCTTCAGCCAACAGGTTCCCCTGCTTGAAGGCCCTCCAGAATGACTTGGTTGGTGTGGTCCTCATCTCTTCCCATTCCAGAATGACTTGGTTGGTGTGGTCCTCATCTCTTCCCATTCCCTGCACTTCAAAGTTATCTCCCAGTGGAATCGCTATGTGGCAATGTAACAGACTGACAGCTGAGAAGTGCATCTAACTCCATGTGCTTTTGTTCCTGATATCACATCAATGCTAAATAGACTCAAGAAATAAGCAAATACTACCCCGATTGATAAGTCCTTGCTGCAGTGCAGTATTGCACACAATTTTCCTTTGTGGCCTGGTCATTTAATCTTTTTCTTACTGTTTTCCATATTAAAGCTGATCAGGCAAAACAACTCAGACTGTCAGCAGGAGGAAGCCACCATTATTTACATTAAACTTTTACCAAGTGAACACCCTGATAAACCAGGTCACAGAGGACATAAAGCCTCCTTGCTCTTTTCTTGCAGCTCTTTTTTGCTGTACAGGATATTTAGAAATATGCCATTCTTTCTACATGAAAATGACATTTTAAACACTCAGAAAAGTTCAAATTAATGTCTGAAATTATTTTAAGAAGAAATGTTTGTTACCAGAGAGAGGAGATGGTGAAGATGTAAGTGTTACTTCTTATTAGCCCATTGGCTGTTAATAATGTTATGACTTATTCCAAATAACTGCGAGAGACAACAGCAAAGGTGATGAGGGCTTCCTAGAATGGAAACAGCATTTGCTGAAGGAATACTGGGCCTTGTAGCAAAATTAAGTCCTGCAGATTTTGCAGTTAAATAACTTGTGAACTTCTTTTCTTTAAAGAGATAATTGCTCCATACATGTCCTGTCCTAATATTCAAATGTATCCTAATTATATTTTTGTATCCTGAATTAGTTTAGCTTTATTTAAAAAAGAAATATTTCATCTTGCACTCTTTCATGCATGGTTACCAGACTTGAACCCATTTTCACCTCTGTTGAGCAAAACCAAGAGCAAGGGCCATAGAAGTCAGGTACCAGCTGCACAACCTGCTTGAAGTCCCAAAACCAGTGGCAGTCCTGAGCACAGCTGAGCTGAGGGTCTTAGCTGACCCTTTAGTGATACAGCCTTGATGGACAGCAGTGTGTATGGAAATAGCAACCCTGACTCCTCTTCCACCTCTTAGGAGGGCCTGACTTAGGAGGACTAACTTGATGACCAGGCTGAAAAAACCAGACCTGGACTTAGCCAAAGTATATTGCATGATGAAGGTTTTGCCACAGGATGCATGACCCCACAGCTGACTGTGATAAACTGTCTCTTAAATTATGCTGTGCGACATATGGACATTGCCCATATTCAGTGGAGAATTATCTTGTTTCTTCTTGCACTCTTATAGTGCTGGGAAAGACTTTGGCTTTGGCCAAAGGTGAGGTAACAAGGAAAATCCCAAGCCTCAGTAAGAGCTGGACCACTGTGGGATCCTGGGGGTTTCATCTTGAGGCAGTCCATGAATCCCAGGATTTTTTTTTTTTTCAAGGTTTCCCAGTGATTAAGGAGATCTCTGGTAACTGAATCCAAAACACAATGAAAAAACCGTCAAGCAGTGGCATGCAAGACTTTAAATAAACAAGTATTTTAAAGTGAGAGGTCAGCTAAAACCACAGCCAGAAATCTAAAATACAGAGCTTTGTGTATGTGTCTGCATGCATGAAAAAAGCATTCTGTCTTTTCTGTAATTACATAAGAATAACTTTGTTTTGATCTTCTGTCTACAGAAAACTGCTTTTTAAGGGGAAATCTATAAAATGCTCATTGTTGTACATGAGTGAGTAAATGGCTGAATGAAAAAATCATGTGATTAAGCTTCTTTCCACTTGCCTAACTCTAGAACATCATAAATCCAAACAATTTGGGATCACATCATCATTTGGATGAGTAAAATGTTTCTTGTAGCAATCCTTGCTTTTGAAAAGTGGATTGTTCAAATACGCTGTTGAGATTTTCTTCTATAAAAAAGAGTTCTGACAAAATGCAGAACAGATTCAATAATTTCAAAATTACTCCTTAGACTTTTCTTAGCAGAATAATTCTGAGAGGATGATGGCACCAGAAGCAGAAGAACAAACTGAAAATCAGCATTTGCTACTCATTTGGCTTAATGAGGTCAGAGCAACCTAGAACCATTGTTTAGTCCTAATTTTAATTCTAGAATAATCCTTATATTTATTTTTATTGACACTGCAAAACTTGCTGTATATTGCATCTATTGGTGATCAGTGATTCAGAGGAGGTGCCCTTTCTAAACCCTGTGTTTCTGCTGCAACAGGAGTTGTGTGTTTCAGGACTTTGAGAAAGCAATGACAGTACAGTAAAATACATGACAGTAAAATAGTTGTTGCATATATGGAGAATGCTCTATATTTTGGTTTAATAATTTCCAGACCGCTCTCAAAGGAGAAATACTAATAAGTTTCTTAGGAGAAAAATGTACAATGCACATAGAAAGCAGGTTTTTGACTTCAGAAGATGAAGATTTTGGCAGTTATCCTCATTTAATTATACCACTTAATGCATCACCCCTTCAGATGTTCCAACAGAGTAGTTTGTGCAGCTGTTGATGAATCAGACTGAGGACCTCATCAGCTTCAGAAAACATAGGTTTTTGGGAGTGTTTCTAAAAATGAAATCTGTTTACAGGCTGTTTCGCAGTGCCTTATAACATTGCTGCACCAGCAGCTGTGCCAGCACAACTGAGGAGAGTGGCAAAGGGTGGGAATGAGAAATGTATGGAAGGATATGAATATCTTACATTGGCAGGGATGACAAAGACTTTGTCTTTTAAAAGATAAAAGTTTGACTTTGTCCTTTCTAACCACACAGTAAATTGTATGAGGCACTGCAAGGCAGTTTGCAGAATGTAAAGAAGATCTTACAAACAAAAAGTTGTTGGACTGACAGTTAATTGGTTTTCCTCATTTCCCCTCTTCTAGTTTGTAGCTGTTGTGTGTATTTAAATATATTGTTTCAACATCATTTATACCTTTGTACTTTAGCAGAAATACACCCCCCACTGATCTTTGTCCAGAACTGGTATCTTATTTTTGACATCATGTCCCAGACAAGTTCTATTTGTCACTATAGACTGCTAGGAGCTTGAAAAGGTCTCATTTTCCCCCCAGTCCTTCTGCATCTTGATGACAGGCAGAGCTATCAGCATTCCACCCTCTGGGGTAACAGGTCAGCACAGCTGCTGGTGACAACAGAAACCTGCATCTGAAATGGAGCAGATATTAGGATCAGCCCATGAAATATTACCAGATTTTGTGTGAGCCATTCAGCCCACTGCGGCCATGGAGTCTATAATTTCCTTCCTATAGCAGCTCTTGTTGGAGCAAGCATTGCACTAATGAAAGCTGTCCTCAACAAGTAAACCTAGAGGTGTGACACTGATATAGTGGTGTAACAGTGGCTTAGATTTTGAAATCCAATTTTCTAATGTAGGGACAAATATTCCTACATTAAATTGTTGTTTTTATGTACTCAGACTTGCACACGAACATATCCAATACACTTCATTCCTACTGTATTTGCAATCCAAGTGGCTTGGGTAAAAGAAATCCTCTCAAACAGGGGCTCTGATAACTACATATCTGATTTTCACCCCACTACTGAGTATGTCTAATAACTGCTGCTGCTCCTAAATTTAGATCATTATGGACCCTCCTGAGACATGAACCCTGCCTTGACTTTTATCATGCATGCAGAAACACAGACTCTCTTTAATCCATATATCGTTCCTGCTCACTGTTTTCTCTCTTCAGCCTAATGTTAGATACTGAATTTTGTATGGGTTCTATACATAGAATAAGCATGTGCTAGGTCAGGTAGTTTCTCCTTTCAAATAAAAAAATGCATTGCAATTCCTTTCTTTATTTGCTTTTGCCTGAAGAAGTGAGCATCACTGGATTCACCATGGGAGATAAGAGGCTGCAATATTAAACTGGTCATTTGCTTCTCAGTCAGCTCAAGTGCCTTGTCTTTAACATGCAAAAAATTTAGCAGAATTACACAGGCTTTTCAGAATGTTTTGACCTAAGAGTAGGATATGAAGAGAGAAATACAAAGTTTCCAATAGTAAAAGGAGATGGAAAAATCAAAAATTAAAACTGGGGTTGTTGTCTTTGAAAAAATTCTAGATGACATTATTACTAGATAATACTATTCTTTAATCAAAATAAATGTTAGTGTTTGTTTTCCATACCTGTATGCACCCATAACATATAGTTCAACTAGAGGAAATACAAGTTTGATGCATGCTCATAAATATTTTTGGTTTTGCTGTGAATGAAGTATCGAGCACTCTAACAAATAGTATTTTCTCTAGGTAGCCTTGGACAGGTCAGTGTTTGCCTGGACTCGCTGTGTGTGGGAGGCTCAGCCACTCAGGTGGTGTTTAACTTCTTGCAAGACAGGGGCCCCAGCTTCTGCTCTAGATGATATGTGTCAGCTACTTTAAAAAATATTTTTATTTTTATGCAAAACATTCTCTCTGTGGGTCCAGATATGTGGCAGCTTCATTCCCACACACCTCAGAAACGAATTACCAGGGCAGCAAATACACATTCAAATTCCAAATATGCTTTAGTAAAGCACAATGGTTAAGAATGTCTTATTTTCTTTTTTTTCCCCTGTTTTTTTCCTTTTTCTTTTTTTTTTAAAGCTAGTTAGTGCAGTATTAGGTAGGTCACTCTGGCCACATTCCCAGAATTTAACAGTGGGGGCCTTGTGGAATGCTAAACGATGTGTATAACAGCATTCAGGCTCTCTGTGAGCCAATCCGTCAAAACATTTGCTGCTTTGAAAATGTGCTCTTCAAAAAAATGGGCATATGGAACTTATTAGACTATTTGGTGGAGTTCAGGCAGCAGAGCCCAAAAGAAGCATAAAAACATCTAAGGACACAATTCTGCCTTAAGGTAATAGGATCTCTAAACTGTTTTTTGCAATCAAATGCATACATAATACAGGGGAGAAACATCCTGAATGGAGCACGTTTTTATATTCCAAACGGTCACAAGACCTTAAGTAAAGAACTTGCAATAGTAGTAAAAAAATATAGTGGTTTGATTGCAGCAATGGTTGGTGTATTTGGTCCTGTTTCTTCTGCAGAGTGTATTGATCCTTTGTTCTTTAACAGTTCAAGTTGTATTGAGGAGCTCTGAGTAGAGGTTTCAGTGCTGCAGCGGATTTCTGTGCCTCTGGTGCGTTGGCAGAGAGGGTCAATCAGTCTCCTTGGAGATGAAAAAAGACAGTGCTGCAGATGGGAAACACAAATGAGCTGCCATTTTCCAGCAGCTGTTTGTACCTTCTTCCAAGGGATTTCTTGTCCCTGTTGCACAGTGAGACCAGAATGACCCCAGAGGGAGCAGATCTTCCTTCACAGTGGTGAATGATAAGACAAACTGAACAAATAACTCAGATTAAATTTTGGCTTTGGAGCCATAGCAAGAGATAACACTGGATTTTGCAGGATGGAGGGCTCTGTGCAATCCCTGTACTACCTCCCTTCCTCTCATCTGCATTGACAGCCCTCTGAGCATGAAACTGTGGCCTGTGCAGGATATTTACACCAAGCTGCTAGCTTTGCTCACTCCTGCAAATAACAAAAGGGACATCCCGATCTTATGCAGCTTCTTTCATACAATTAGGTGGTAAAGGACAATTTAGGACCTCTGACCATCTTTTTCTGTCCCATTAGAAGATGACAGCTAAAGTCTCAGACTTTGTTTTGCTGATATGTCTGTACTCAAGGAGTAGAGATACATATTTCTCTTTCTACATGACTGTAATGCAAGGAGAAAAAAAGTCACACAAAAGTATTAAAAATGGATTGTTACCCTCAAAAGTAAGGTAAAGTGAGGTAAAGGTGAGTTTTGCTGCTGTGGTAAAGAGTGGTCTTTGTTATGGCAGCGCTTAATTTAAAGAACCAAGGTGCACAGCAGGTTGTGACAGATGTGCTGCTGTTGTACAGAATCTCACAATTATGTTCCTAGCAGGTTAGCAAGTTTGTGACCTTTATAGGAGTGATGGACAATAACTTCATGCCTCACTGTGCTAGCAAGTCATGCAGCATGTGTGGGGAAAGATTCTAACTTTGTAAATGCTGATTTTTAAAACCTCTGCAACAGAGTAAATCGCTTCAGAAGAAAGGTCTCAGACATGAGACATTGGAATGGTGGGGAACAGAGAGCAAGGAGGAAGAATGAAACATCTCTGCCTTCAAGCACAGCTCCCTGGAAACTTCAGTGACTCTTGTCCAACAAGCTTAGTATGATAGTAGGCAATCTCATGAGACTCAGTTTGTTATCATTGCTACCAGGAATTCACATGGCAGTGCCCCTATCTACTCTGAAGATAAGCTCTATTGTTTTGTTATGCAAAGGTCCTTGAAATAAGCTGTGGCATCCACAAGAACAATTTTTTTCCTTTTTTTTTCTTTTTTTTTTTCTCCCCCCCCCCCTTTTTATCCTTGCATTTGGAAGAGGCTGCTGAGACAGAAAAGTTTCCTGGGAACTGGACATTGCTGTGTGTGGAGACCTTTGAAAAAGGAAATTGCTTGTAATGAGTTTGTGATTGCCTCCATTACCAGGCTGCAGTGAATGAGTAAATCAAGTTAAACTGCAAATATACTTCCAGATCTCTCTGCCACTGATTTTCCCACCTGAGAAAAATCAGTCTGCCACATTCAATAACTGAATCTTCACATGGCAGGAGCATGGCACTGCAGGAACAGTTCTGGAGCCAGGACAAAGCTTTCTCCCATAATACAGGCATGAAAGAAAGTAGCCCCAAAGCTGCCTGGATAGAAACTCCAGAAGTGCTGTGCTTTGGCCTTCTGCCATTACTTTTAAGTCAGGGACTTCTCCTGTTGTGTTAGATTTTAACAGAGTCAAAACAATTTCAACCCCGTTAAAAACATCTTCCCCACTGTTTTCAGTGCATGGTTTTTTGAGTCAGAAGATTTTGATGCTGGAAAGAATTGTGACATTTTAAAATTACCAGGAGGAGGCCTCTCTGAATTTTTCATGTTCGTCCTGTACTTTTAGGGTCCCCTTGATTCTCTTCCTGACACAGTAAGATGCTGCAGCTGACCCACAGGTATTTCCTTATTCTGAGCCTCACAAAAGTGAAATGGAAGGAGGGGAAAGTGGCAGAAAGGCAGAAGCAGAATTCCCTCCAGCAGCCGCACTGCCTGCAGGTCTCCTGGGGTGGCTTGCAGTGTCTCATGGAGGATGGTCCCTTCCTTTATGCTGTCTCCCTTCTCCTTTCTGGCATGAAACACTGTGCTCACAACGCTGTCAGAGCTCTTCCGGGAAGGTTAGCCATGTGGCGCTGGGTTTTGTTCCTATGCCTGTGTTTCCAAGAACAAAACTGCTGTTTGCTCCTCCTCACTGGGTGTGCTGAGCACAGCATCTGGCTTTAGGTCACTGCCTTATGCACAGGTTTTCTTTATTTAGGGTAAATATGGGTTCATGTTCAAGGGATTTGCCTGTCACACCTCTTCTTAAATTACCAAGCTTTATGAATACTTCCAACCAAATAGGATTTTCTTAAGTCTTACTGGTTTAGTACTCAAAATTCAGTCCTGGAGCAACCAAATAAATGAAATGTTTGATATTGAGATCTGCCTGTATTCTGTTCTCTTTTCTGACTGGTATCTATTGAGACATTAAGTTTTGTTCAGCCCAAGTTATTTTATTTATATAATTTTAATTTATTTAATATTGGTATTCTGCAACTAATTCCAAAGGGATTTGTGCCTGGAAAAATTAGAAAATTGAGCCATGTAAGTCCATGAGAGAGGTTATAAAATAAACATTATACCATGTGTGGGGTAACATTTTTTACTGCAAGTGGCTGCTCTCACTTTTCTGGCACTTATACACACAGCCATCTGTTTGAACACTGTTTGAAGTGGCTATATTCCAGCATTTATGTAACTTGCTTGTAGAAAGGAAATGACATCACTTAGTTTCCTGAAGAATATTCCCAATGTCAGAACTGAGGAAATAAAATCTACAATAAATAGAATATGTATTTGGAATATGTTTTTTTTTTTTTTAAAGAAATCCCTTTTACAGTAGGATATCTCTTTATACTGTTCTGCTCATCCCTTCAAAGCCCAGGAAACTCCATTCATTTCACACAGACTTCCACACACACTGCTATGAGCAGGCTGCAAGCCACTGTAATTTACATGTTACATTGATGAAATGAAATCTGGCAAGACAGGAATGAACTGGTGCAATGACAAAGCCTCAAATGTGCCTCCAGGTAAAGATATAGGCACAAAATAACAACAACAGTTTCATAATTAGACTGCGTAAAAGCTTCAGCCCTTTCAAGGGGCCACTAAAGCGCTGCAGCTGTTTGTGATGCCTGGGAAGAAAGAGAGCTGAACCATTTAATGCAGGTATGAACCAAATGTCAGGAGCTGAGGAAGTGGCTTGGATTGTGTTAGGGGACCTTTAGTCTGGGTGTCAGGAAAGGGTTTTCTCCCCGAGGGTGGCTGGGCAGTGGCACAGCTCCCAGGGCCGTGGCCACAGCACCAGCGCCTGATGCAGCTCAGGGGCTGTTTGGACAATGCCCTCAGGCCCAGGGTGGGACTCTTGGTGCAGGACAGCGCTTGGACTCCCTAATCCTTGTGGGTCTCTTTCAACTTAGCATTTTCTGTGATTCTGTGATATTCCCTTTTATATGGAAACTTTACGTTATTACAGTCTTCATAAAGGCTGCATGTGTTCTGAGACATTTGTTTTAAATCTTTGCCAAGCTATAAAGTTTCTCTGCTGGTAATTTCAACTGAGCCATGTTGAGTTACATCACACAAGGGCTTCGTCCTACTCTGTCGTGCCAGGAACTTTTGAAAATTTGCCTTAGCTGATAACTCCTGTTTTGCTCTCTGATTTTTCTACAGTAAGATATCAAGTGAATTAAAGACTACTGAATAACCCAGCTAGCAGCTCAAATAAAGTAGAAGGGTCTGTTACTTCTTAAATAGAGTTTTGGCTAGAGTTTGATTTTTAATTTCTTTGTGTGACAGATATTGCAAAATAAACAAGTTGTATTACTAGAAAGCCAACTTTGACTGGCAGAAGTTTCATTCACCTTTATATTTTTTAAGGTACTTAGTGTTTAACACAAGTATGAACTAATGGCAAACAAATTGAAATTTCCAGAAATTGTGTTATTTCCTATGCTTGACCGTTGTTCATATAAATGCTTATTCAGTACCATTCAGATTGTCCCATAAATTACAGTGCAGCTGGACTTTAATCTGTCTTTATTAAACAGATTTGGGCTGCCTATTCTTCAAAATGCTATGCTTTTGAAAGTTTTCATAACGAAGTCATTATTCCTCTCAAAAGGAAATGAGAAGAAAGGTTGGCCGATGATGACCCTTAATAATTTATGGAATTCATATAATCTTTTAGTTTATGACTGGCCTTGGATATACCCCAGAATATGTTGAAATCTGAGAGTCCGCTCCTATCCACTTGAAAGCAATACAAAACAGTACAAAAATATTCCTGATCTTTGTGCCTCCAGAAGGAAATTAAATATTCTTAATATCAAGGTAGGAATACATTTTAACTGGGGATATTGGTTAAAAAGCAATGGCCTGATATTATAATAATAATAGGAAAATCTCATGTAGTCAGAGGTGTGAGGGACAAAGAAATTTATTTCCACCTGATTATTTGTACAGATTTTCCAAGCCGAATCAATAAAATATGAGATTAAATGCTGAATTTAATGAATTTTTTTTCTTTTAATAAATCAGCTCACAGTAGGAGCTGAGACCTTTATCTTGATGAGTACTCAAAAAAAAAGGTAATTTTTCAATGACTTCCTGACTGCCAATATTTTCCTAAATCAAAGGATAACTGAACATTACTGTGAGATTATAGTGAAA